CCCTTTGCCTGCTTTTCAGGGAGCTGTGAGGGAGACAGGGACAAGGAGCCCCTCTCTGTGCTTTTGGGGACATCTCCCCGGCATTCACTGACTCCCTGTGTCTCCCATCTTTCATGCTCTGCTGGGGACGTTTGCTGGGAACAGTGACTGAGCTCTGCAACTTGGCCTGCTCCAGCACGATGCCAGGAGGGGGCACCAACCTGGAGCTCGCTCTGCACTGCCTGCATGAGGCCCAGGGTGAAATCCCGGTGAGCTGGAGGCAGGGGCGGGCTTGGCGGGTCCCTGGGAAGCCCCTGCCGTGCTGAGGCTGGGATCTGGTGCATGTAACGTGCCATCTGCGGGCTTTGCGGCTCATGAAAACTGAAAAAGGCCGCCCATCCTTCTCCCCAGTGGCTGTGGGGTTGATGTCGTCAGTTGTAGGGCAAACGTGCAGATGGGGCCCAGTTAGGCAGTTATTTACCTGGGGCAGCTGCAGAGCACCAGGTTCCTCCGAGATCGCAGGGGCAGGGGGAGTGGAGCCCAGTAGACTGACTCAGGTCCTGCATTGATCTGGTTTATCGATGGAGCTTTACCTTTTTGATTAAAATCCCATGTACGAAAACCCCTGATGCAACAAAAATATCTGCTTCCTCCAAGGACCCGCTTCACAATCCTGAAGTTTAGAAAATAAAAAGTCCAACTCTGAGTAGTGGAAAGGGGGGTCATGTCACCCAAGTTAGGGCCCCAGGAGTCAGTATTGGCAACTGTACTTTTCCTCAAGTTGCAAGGCAGTGGCTGCCACATAGTGGGTGCTCAGCAGAGTAACCAGCACATGTGTGTTTGCCCTCATGAGTGTTGTGGCCCTGGGGCAGGGCTGGCTTTGGGACCCCCCTCAGTCTAATGCTCTGACTCCACCATTTTTGAAATTGATGAATTTTCTAAAAGGGGCCTGCGTTTTCATTCTGCGCTGGGCCCTGCAGGTTCCACGGCCCGTCCCGATTGGGTTTACACTGGTGACTGAGACAAAATCCTTCTCCGTGGGACTTACATTTTAATTTTAGGACAGTCAAAGGGAAATCTGTTTTCAAAAATTGTTAGTGGTTAGTGCTATGAAGGAAATACAATGGGGCGTGGCATGGGCAGGGCCCCTACAAATGCCAGTCCTGGACGAAGGAAGGAGCTGGTGCTGGAATAAATCCACACACTGCTTCCTTTGTCAAGAAAACCCTACTGAGAAAAATCCCAGCTACACTCAGCAGTATGCGTAGTGACAGAGCCGGCACGTCCACTGCAGCTCACAGGCCGCGGCCAGTCCACGGCCCCACCACGTGCTGAGTAGCCCTGGAGAGAGGGAGGCTTTAGGGGGGCCTGTGCTTTTCAAATGAATGAAAGGATGAAGGCAGGCCTCCACCTCACCTTCCCTCCCTCAGAAAGTAGCCCGCTTTCCTTCCCGCTCCAGGTGGCCCTAGAGACCCTCTTATTCAGCGGACCCCAGAAGCCACCGACTCACCCGCTGTCTGACTACCACTACGCAGGTACTGGAGCGAGGCTGCGGGAGTGGGTGTGCCCGGCTACTACCTGGGAGCCAGTTGGTCTCGGCAGCAGTCTCTGCTTCTGCCCCTGGGCGTGCTATTGTGGCCCTCCTTCTCCTGCCTTTCCAGAAGGGCCTTTCCTCCCTGGGGGACCTCAGTGGGTGCCTCTTTCTCCTGGCTGGGTCCTCCCTTCCCCCTTCCAGTGGTTCCCTCAGGGGCTGTGCCCAGCCAGGAAAGAAATCCCCTGGCCAGGGAGAGGTGAAGGTGGGCTCAGATGCAGTGGCTGAGCACCCCAGCCTGGGAGTCAGGCAACTGGGGGTTCCTGCCTCCTGTTGGCAAGTCTGTTAACCAATGGAAGCCTTGTTATTGCATCTGTAAAGTGGGGATAGTATTGGTCCCAACCTGCTAAGGTTTTTCTAAGGATTGTATGAGATAAAACAGAATTCTTGGCACATAATTGGTACTCGGTAACAACAGCTTTAAAAAGGGCAGGCTGCATTTCTGCCATGGCTGCGGCTGCAGAACTGTCCTTTTCTCTCCTGTTTCTCCAATAGGTTCAGCCATCTGGACCCCCACAGAGAAGGAGCTGTTTAATAAGGCATTCCAGGCTCATAAGAACAACTTTTCCTTGATACACAAGATGGTAAGGTGTACGTGGGTAGGCTGGTGTAGACAAGGCCTCGTCTCACACCACTGAGCTGAGCCAGAGCTGGAGGGCCTATCCGGGTGACACGCTGTTCACACTGTAAACTGTTTGTAGTTTATAAAGCCATTGATGTGAACACCTCCAGACAGTACAGAAATGCCATCACGTGCTCAAAGCCCTCCGCACCCATCCCCGTCATCCTACTTCTGAATGATGACCTCTGACTTTGGTTGGGCACCTCAGGCATTTGCCCATACAGATCTTACGTGCATATACACATGTATTTAGAAAAGGATGTGAACATACTACACTTAATGTCTGCTGATGTTTTTTGTTCTTTTAACTTGATATGCACAAAACTGCACGTAACCAAAATGTAAGATTTGATGTTTTGACATATTTATACCTGCAAAACCATCACCATGATCAAGATAAGAAACACATTCATCACCCCCAAAAGGTTCCTCCTGCCCCTGTGGTAAATCCCTTTTTCCTACCACCCCTGTCCCTAATCACCTCCTTATCTTCTTTCTGTCACTATAAGTTAGTTTGCATTTTCCAGTGTTTTCTATCAATCCTGCAGCATGTGCACTGCTTGTCTGCCTTGTGTGGCTTCTTACACTCAGCATCACTATTTTGAGGTCCATCCATGTTATTGTGTGGACCCTTTTTCTTGCTGAGGAGTATTCCATTGTGTGGATGTAACACAGTTCATTTAATCATTCCCCTATTGAGGGACATCTGCGGGGTTTCCAGGTATCTGCAATTATAAATAAACCTGCTGTGAACATTCACATTCAAATCTCTACGTGACCAAGTAGTGTTGGTGGCGGGGAGGGCGGTAAATACTTAGGAAAGGAATGAGTGGCTCACATGATAGGGGTACATTGAACTTTTTCAAGAAAGTGCCTTTTCATCTACATCTTCCAGGCGGTTCTTTACCCAGTTTTGGGCCACCTCATACGCACAAGCTGGTCAGCACGTTGCTGAACGCTCGAGGGGAGCGCCCCCCAGATCTCTGGAAGTTTCCTCTGAGCAGCTCTCTTCCCTGTCCTGCCTTGTCCTGTGAACTCTCACCGCCTTGTTCCCCCAGAATCCTCCCTCCCATCTCAGCTCAGGAAGCCCACCTGGCTCTGCCCGGACCCCTCTCCCCGGGTCGTGGCCTGGAAACTCTCTCAGGGTGTAGTGTGTAGGGACCGGTAGCTTATTTTCTGTCTCTCAGTAAGACTTGTTCTTGGCTTGCCTAGCGTCTTCCCAAACATCATTTCACACATTTTGACTGTTTCTTCTCATTGTTTTGAAAGGGAAGGTCAATGTAGCTCCTGCTGCTCCATCTTGTTTGGAAGCAGAAGTCCAAGTTTTTTTTTTTTTCCTAACGTAGTGATATTTCTTAGGCAGAGGATTTACTACTCTGGCTCCTAGTGGTTGAAGGTATACAGAGCTGAAAAAATTTCATATGTAGAAAAGTATTTTCTGAAGTGAGCTCCACATCTTAAACGGCCAATTTCATTTTCCTGAGAAATTGTCTTCCTAGAGCAATTAAACATTGCTGTTCTGCTTTGCTTTTACAGAAGTTATTATTAATGGGGTCCATTCTTAGTGGGGGGAGAGCACACAGTGGGGTCTGAATGCCCAAGGATCTGACTGTGCCCTCAAAACTCCCTCCTCCTCTCGTGGGCCTCCTCCCTCTGCACTGCAGGGTGTTGCCTGGCTGCTGCCAAGGCTTTGTGGTCTCTGCTGCTGAGGGCAGCCTGCTGCAGGGAGTCCCAGCTGGTAAATGCACGTCATTAGGCCTGATGTCACAGTGAGCGCCTGTGTAGGGAGCCCTCGTGTACACCTTACCGTAGGGAAGGCCTCCCGGGACTGACTTGGGGCTCAGAGAGCGTGCAGAGCTTGGACGGTGCTGGCTACGGCGGCGTCCGCGAGCCCCTCATCAGAAGCAGGACTCTGTGCTTCTGTGCTCCTTGTAGCCCAGGGGCGTGCCAAGCCCAAGGGGAGAGACATTCCAGGAGAGCTTTCAGGAAGTGACTGGCCCCACGGCGAGGGGGCGTGTGGGGCAGTGCCCAAAGCCCGCTGCTGTTTTCTTTCACCAGGTCCAGACAAAGTCCGTGGCCCAGTGTGTAGAATATTACTACACCTGGAAAAAGAGGGTCCGGTTTACTACATCTTCTCGGGCCCCGGGACTGAAAAAGAGCGTCAAAAGGAAGCTGGCCGAGGCAGACCCCACAGAAACAAAGGTAGGGGATTCTGGGGCAAGGCGGTCTCACTGGAGTTCAGTGCTGGTCTGGACAGCTACTGGCCACCCAGTCGGGGTGGGGAAGGGGCCCCCACAGGGGAAAGCATCTCCCTCAGAAGGGTGGAAGGTCGGCACCCTGATGTCATTTCTGCCCCTTCTGCAGGCCACTGCCAGCCCTAAGAAGAGACGCAACCACCATCCAACCCCTGAGTTGAAGACAGAGACGGAGAGCTGCAGGGGACAATCTGTGGCCAACACCAGCCCAAATGCTGCTCCCAAGCAGACCCCTGAGCCTCCGGGGTGCGTCCAGGGCCAAGGCGCTCCCTGTGGGGAGTGTGAGAGGTGGGCACCAGCCCTGTCCCCGGATGCACCCGCACAGCCTGCCCTGTCCCCGTGGGCCCTCAGCCCAGCTTCCCCTGCTCTGACCCGTGTCCTCTGCTGACTCTTCAGGGTGTTTGACAAGATGTGCACTCACTATGCCCACATGAAGCGGCACCGAAATGAAGACCCAGTGGAAACAACTGTCGGGGAGGAGAGGCCAGCGAAGGCCTTTAAGGTGGAAGAGGAGGAGAAGGAGGAGAAGGAGGAGGAAGGGGAGACGGGGGCTGACATGGGCCCCTTGCAGGGGGATTTGGGCCGTGAGCCGGGGTCAGGCAGCCCGTCATTGGGATGAGGACCTCGGGCCCCATCTCCTCTCCCTTCCGCCTCCCCGAGGAGTCCAGGGCATCCCTCTGCCTCCACCCCCACCTCCCCTGCGCCCCACTGACCAGCCCAGCTTGCAGACCTGCGTGAGAAGCGCCATCATCAGACACTGTTACATCCTTGTCAGCTGGTGCCAGAGGCCCCGGCCCCTTTACGTGTGCCCTGTGCCTTCAGACCATAGTCTTGTGATGACTTGGCTCATTGTTATTTTTTTTTTCCATGTCAATCTGTGAACCCTATTAAGTTTTGTTCTGAAGCAGCTGTCTTCTGGCTTCTCTGGCCTGTTGAGCCAGCAAAGGCTTTAGGGCTCCTGCCACTCGCCAGCACCCCAGAAACGCGTGAGCTGAGTCTCCGCCCTGGAGGGGCCGCGTCCTCGTGCATGCCGGGAGCCGGCCCTGAGGTGCCTGCCGCAGTGTGTGTCCGCACCCGGTCCATGCAGCGGGCCCACAGCGACACAGGAGGGACCCAGGTGCTCCTCTCAGCGAGCTCACATTTTAGGAGCAGGAGAGCAGCAGGAATAAATAATTGAAGAGATGGTTTTAGCTACTGCTTTGGGCCATAAGGACAGAATTCTCAGTCAGCAGCGTGTGACAAGCAGTCAGGACATGATGGGGGTTCCAGTGTGTCCGGGGTGAAGTCAGGGTCTCCCAGCAGCGGCCAGCTCAGCATGCGGATGGCAGTGGGGATGAGGATCCCCCCCTCCTGCCCCGAGGTCCAAACCAGAGGGCACAGGAAAGAGCACGTTCCTTGCTCCTTCCTCGTGTCCCTTTTTAAGAGCAGGGAGAGCTTGTAACGGTCTCCAGAAGAATGCCTCTGGGTCCCGTTGGTCAGGACTGGGGCCCATGCTCTTTCTAAACTGATCCCTGGCAGTAGGAAGTGCAACATATACAATATAACCAATAATATTATAGCATCTTGGATGCTAATGGGGAACTCCACTTGGTGTCGCAAGCATCTGGTGACGTATGTAATCACTGGGTCACTGGGTTGGACATTTGAAAGTAATATAATGCTGCATATCAATTTTATTCCACTTAAATTTTTTTAAAAGACTATAAAAACAACACTTGTTTTGGACATTACATAAGGAAGAAATAAACTACTGTCATACTTGAGCCACTGAAGGGTTGGCTTGGTTTAGAGATTGTTCTGACAGCTAGTATTAACCAGAATATTTGGCAATACCTGCCATGATCCTGTGTCACTACCAGATATCAGGAATACTGAGGGAAAACTTTTCATGTACACTCTGGGAAATATTTTCCAGGCAAAGCTAAAAAAGAATTTAAAATCAGGTATTATCAGTGAAACTTCAGGCTCTTGAGTCATTAAATGCACTGTTTATTTTGATTTGGCCACGGTTCGAGCTCTCACTAACAGTTTTTGTTATTATTATTATTATTTTTTTTTAAAGAATAACTTTTAGAATAACTACTCTAGAAAACAATAAGAAGAAGAAATTAGAAAAGATCCTGACAAGGTGGAGGGAATCAGAACAATGAGCCGGGCCTTGCTGATTACCCTGTGCATTTACATACATGCCCGTATGCTCAGGTCCTAAGCACTGGTTAGAAATTAATAAAACAATATACATCTTAACTATGCCTGTATCACTTTCACAAGCTAGAAGTCTCCATTAAAGATTCTTTAAAGTTCTATTTTGAAAGTTGCCAAATCTAATTCAAAAATTAGTTTATATTTATTTACATAATTATTGAAAATCAGTGGTGCCACATGATTCTACTCACCCAATTTAAATGTGTCCCATTTTGCACTACATTAAAGTTATCATATTTTACCATACTAAATATATTTGAATATGAGTTGGTCTGACAATTTAACCTTAATATATTATCATAGGATGTATAATAAAAGCACAATTAGTATTATAAAGAGCAGCTTCTATTAGAATATATTATATTTGCATTGTATTCGCTATTTTCATAACTACCGTCCCTGCAGCACTAGTTCATCAGTGCCCTAAAGGGCGGTGTTTGTGACCCGTATCTAAGCCACCCACAGCTCTCACATTACATCCTGTGCTGGGCACAATAGCATATGATGAGCGAGTAAATACACAGGACAAATAATTTTCCAGGGACCCATTTGGATTTTCATTCATCTCTTCTTAGAAGTTGAGGAGCCCCTCCTCCCTCTTAAGTCCCACCGTGGTCTTGGATGCACACTGTCAAGGTGGGACCTATGGCCAGGGCAGTCACAGCAAGCCACCTCCAAGAGGGGTCCCCAGCATCTATATATGGGGGTCAAAGTTGAGTGCCAGATCACATGTTAAAAGTAGTTTGTAGTCAACCGAATTACGCGTATTTCAGCTTGGTAGCCAGTACCCCCCTTTTAGCCGTTCCCCTATGCCCAGCTGCATTCTGGTTTAATATACACCACAGCACACTCTGTGTTCAAAGAGACTCTCCTACCCCAGAGAACAGTGTTCTGTCTAACCGGAAAGACCGTCACAGTATGGACACGGGTCACCACTCAGATGCTTTCTCATAAATACAAATATGTTCCAGGTTTCTGAAGATGAGGCTGGACGAGCTTCCTGGGAAATCCATGAGCCGATAGAGGGGGATGATGGACAGCGCTCTCAGGGACACCTGTCCAAATAAGGGACGTGGACACAGAAAAATGACTGGCCCACACTCAGACATAGGTAATAGGTCTAGGTGGAATCAGATGGAACCTCAGCTTACAGGTAACACGCCGCTACCAGGACTCATTGGGGAAGCCTCATGGGAATGGATGTAGGGTCTGACTCTTTCTAAGACCTGAAGGAAGACTTGGAAAACTACTCTCTGTTTAAAAAAGCAGAAACCTACAACTTTCAATAACTTTTTAATAACCACAGGAGCTTCAAAACTTCCCACCTGGGTATGCATTGCTCAGAAAACCCCCAAACTTCTTACTAAATAAAAATGTGAGCAGTGCCTAAAGAAATTGGCATAGGAATGATGGAGACTTTCTGACAACTCACAATGAACCATGGATACTATTTGTTTCATTTTCCAGGAGGAACATCACAGTGAGAAAATCTGTGAATTAACAGCTTGATTTACTTTAAATGTTCATGAAGATGCTTGGAACATCAATAAGGCATAAGTCTTCCTAAGCTGCTGAGCACAGACACCCTAAACACCTGGTTTTTCTTCCCCATCTTGCAGAACACAGACATCTATATTCCTATGGGGCCAAATAGAAAATAGGAGAGGAACTGGGTTAAGAGCCTGTTTTCAACAATGTTCTGGGTTTAAGGTGAAATAAGCCAGCCAGTGGGCATTCTTTAAAATTCCTTAGAAGCTGTGGCACAGGGGAAGGCACCAAAAATGAATGAGCACCCTCATTTTAGCTTTCTGTAATTCTCAGGGGTGAATTTGGGATGTTTGGGGCTTCCAGGACGGAAAAGCAAGGCACGATCATTGTGGCCACTCTAACTTACCAAAATACAATTTATTTTCAAAGTCATGAATAAACTGATCTCCCCCGCAGTTTACATGAGGGCACTGAGGCCGAGGAAGGAGGGGAAACGCCTCGGAAGCCGCTGACGGTGTGGGCTGCCTGAGGAGCAGGAGCTGCCCACCTCCGGGCCCCTGAGCCTCTGCCCAGCATCACAGCAGACAGGAGCAGGGGGCTGAGACGAGGACAATAAAGGGAATGATGTCATAGTGTAGGACACACAGATGCTCCTAGCATCCTGAGTTTCATTAATTCTCACACAGATGAATGTTAAATTGTTAGGCCAATGTATATAAAATGGACAGTAGAATAAAACATTGTCAAATAACAATTCCAAATACAGGTGTAGAACACAGTACTACGGCTTCTCGTTGACCACACAATATGACCTCTCCCTCCATCAACCCCATTAAAATGAGATTTAAGAGATTAAAAATGGCATAAATCCACAATCTAAAAAAAAAAAGTCTAGTACCTTATTAATAAGACCCCTTGTAGGACACAGGCTGAGTGACATCTGGGCAGGAAACATAACTGGAAAGCCTGTGTGTGGAGCCGCCAGCCGCTGACCCGCATCACCTGCCCCTCCCTCCTGCCAACCCACACTCTCTCCCTCATCTCCCCTCCCCTCTCCTTCTTCCCCATCACCTCAGATCCTGCCCCTGCAAACCCAGAAAGCTGCAGTCATCTTCTGTGGAGAAACCAAAAGACCTCAGAGAAGACGACTCCACAGTCAGGCCATAACCCAATCAAAGGTCCTAAAACTAAGCCCACACAGAGCGTTGTCACGCAGCCGGTTAATGGCCCTGCTCTCAGTTATGACAGGACAGTCACAGGTCACAGACGCGGGCAACCCCCACCAAGAGGAGCGCAGGCAAGAAGGGGCAACAACGGTCCTGAAGGACATGCACAAAAGGCAACAGGAAACTTCAAATATTCCAAAGACAGTCAAGGAAATACATCCATAAAGCAAGAAGAGAATGCTATGGAAAAGCAACAAAAAGATCATGGCAATTGGAAATTACTTTTAAAATCAAAACTTAATTAGAAGATGAACCAGGAAATATTCTCAGTTCCCATAAAATCATGAAGATTTTAGAATTTGAATTAAAAAATGTGCCTTCATATAAAGAGAAGAAAAGAGAAAAACTGGTCTTTGACAAAGGAATGGGAATCCCAGAGGTACAGGAATCAGACTTTTCAGGAGCCAGCCTGGAAGGTGGACGATAAATGAGACTCTACTGACAGGTCACTCTTACCCTCTGGCTCATTCTCACTACCCGTCCTCCCGTCCCTGACAGTGGAGCTGGAGAAAAATAACTGCCGTCCTAGAATTCTACATTCATCCTAATCGTGGACCCAATGTAAGAGCAGAAAAAAAATTTTCCAACGTTCACTCACTCAGGAGAGTAGAAAGACAATATAAGACATGTGCAACCAAATTGAAGGAAGGGCCTTAGTGTGAAGACAGGATGATTTGGGGGAACCAGCAGGAAATTCCAGAGTGACAGGTGAGCAGCAAGGCTAGAGAGCAGGGTGATGCAGGACACAAGGGAGGAGGGCCCGCGGGAAGGGGGAATGCAGTGAACCAGATTGGGGAGTAACAAAAACTGAAATGTGCTTCAAGGGACAAAAGGGAGGGAGAAAGAATGGCATTGGGAAATTACATGAAAATAGAAAGCTGGAAACAACATGGATGGGTATTATGCTCAGTGAAATAAGCCAGGCAGAGAAAGACAAGTACCAAATGATTTCACTCATCTGTGGAGTATAAGAACAAAGAAAAAACTAAAGGAAAAAAATAGCAGCAGACTCACAGAACCCAAGAATGAACTAACAGTTACCAAAGGGAAAGGGACTGGGAAGGATGGGTGGAAGGGGAAAAATGAGAAAAAGGGGAGTTATGATTAGCACACATAATATAGGGGGGGGTCATGGGGAAGGCAGGATAGCACAGAGAAACCAAGCAGTGACTCTATAGCATCTTACTACACTGATGGACAGTGACTGTAATGGGGTATGTGGTGCGGACTTGATAATGATGGGAGTCTAGTAACCATGTTGTTGTTCAAGTAATTGTACATTCATGATACCAAAAAAAAAAAGTATCCTCTGACAGTCTGTCCTCTTTCCTTATTTTTTTTTAAGTATAACCATATTATGTTCATAAGATATTGGTCTGTCCCCCACTAGAGGTATGCTGTGGAGTACCAGAGCCACTAGCTATATGTGGCTATGATGTGGCTAGTCCGAACTGAGACGTCCTGTGAATGTAAATATACACCAGGTTTTAAAGAATCCAAAATAAGTAAATTATCTCATTAACATTTTTGTATTGATTAAATGTTGAAATAACATTGCAGGTTGAATTGTTTATTAAAGTTGATTTCACCGTTTTCTGTGACCTTTGTTTTAAAAAATGATTACTAGGAAATGTAAAATTGTGTCTGACACTCGGGGCTTGTATTTCTTTTGGACGGTGATGTTCTGGAATATAAGCCTAGGCAGGAACGTTTGTTTCTGAGGTACAGACACTGCTGTACCTCAGCAGAGAACAGAAACTCAGTAAGCAGTATTTGCTGAATTAAGGAACCCAAAAGTAGAATGCCAGTCCTTTTTGTTGTCTACCCCAGGGATCCATTTTTAGAAAATAACTTTGAGGTATAATTTCCATAAAAGTCACCCATTGTAAGTGTATAATCCAACAATTTTTAGTGAATTCACCAGATTGTCCAACCGTCAACGTCCCTTTTAGAATATTTGCATCACCCCAATCGGATCCCCTCATGTCCTTTACAGCCCATCCCCATCCCATCCCATCCCAAGGCAACCACTGTACGTCGTATACGATTTCCTGTGTTGGATTTCTAAGGAATGAATCCCTGTGTCCTTCCAGGGAGCAAACTCCCTGACCAGACCGGGCCATTGCTCCTCCCGGTTTCTGTCTGTCCCTCAACGCTGCTCAGCACAGGCCCAGACCCGCACATGGCTCAGGGTTTGCTCAAGGGAAGGCGGGTGAGCTCGCGCCCTCTTAGGGGTTCTCAGCCCCCCGCCTTCCCAAGGCCCCGAAGGGCAGGCCTGGGGGCTCGTGGTCCGCTGCCGCCTCCTGAAGAGCACGTGGGGCCGCCTCGCTGAGCCCCACAGCCCTGCGGGAGGGGCGCCTACTCCCCAAGCCCTCCTCGCGGGGACGGGGACTGCGGCTCCCAACGGCCCGCACGGGCGCGAGCTCCGCATCAGCGCGTCCCGGGGCGTCCCCCGGCGGCTCCTAACCCTGCTCTGCCTTCCCCCGGCCAACCGCCTCCCTTCCCGTCCGCCGCCGGCGCCTAACCGCGCTGAGCCCCGCCCCGCCGGAGGCCCCGCCCCCGCCCCTCGGCGTTGGGCAAAAAACCGCCGAGGCAACTCCGTCGGACCGCACGCGCGGGGAGCCCGGGCGTCGCAAGGTGCGCGCCAGGATGCTCCGGCCCGGGCAAGGCGGCCGCAGCCGAGCTCACAAGATGCCCCGGGGGCAGGCCCGGCTGCGCGAGCGTGCCCGGCCGGCGGGCAGCGCTGTGGAGACCGGGGGACGCTTGGAGACCCGCGAGGCCCGGCGCGCGACCCCCGGAAGCGGGTAAAACCCGGTTGCTGCCGTCCCGGCCGCCTCTCCTCCTATCAGCCTCTTACCCCTTTAGAAATCTGATCTGTTTATACATTTCTTTTTGAGGGGACCTATATCCGTTTTGAAGGGCGTCACGCACGCACTGTCTGCCTTCCCAACGGCTCCGGGCCTCGCTGCACCCCCGCAGCCCCTTCTCCCTTGGAGAAGACTCCGCGGCCGCTGGCCACTGCACCCCTTTTCTTACCTACGCCGCCCCCCAGGCGCCAACTGCCCCCTCGCAGCTCTCCAGCTCGTACCTCGGGCCCTGCCCGACCTCCGCCCTTTCTGCATCTTGGCCTTGGATTCGCCGCCCCCCACTTCCAGGTTCGTTCTGCTAAAAATTCTCTTTCCTCCTGAAGAGTCCTCCTCACCTTGGGGATCCAGGTTTGTTTCTTTTTAGGATCTTCCAGCAAAAACAAAACTTGACTATGCCCCTCCCCCTCCTTTTTGGAACTTAGAGCAAAAAATGTCTTTCTTTCTTCACAGATTTTTTTTTCTTCCGTCCAGGATCGCTTTCCAGCAAAAATCCTTCCTTTCCACCAAGGATTTTTT